GTAGTGGAATACACACGAATGACGTCAACGGTAAGGTAACAATAACATTTAATTAACTTGCAAGTTGCATTACTTTTCCAAAAGCATATTGTCGTATTACATCCGAAATACAAATAGTTTCTTCCGAGCAAAAGCTTCAGTACCTTGCTATGTATCAAATCGGTAGACTCTCAAAATCTCCTTGAAAGATCGTTCGAGTAGACGGTTCCAGAAACAAAGCCGTTCCAAAAGTTTCCCGGGCGTGTTTGCTTAGGCAAATCTCTTGATTTCGCTCGATAATTAATTTACGAACGACTTACTTTATTAGATCGAATAAAACTGAAGCCCGTTATATATTTCGGTAAACAAGACCCCTCCTTATTTATCGGTAAATAATTTTCGAAGCTATACGATATCGAGTCAGTGACATTCAACCCTTTGTATTATTGTGAAGCTCGACATTAAACAGTAATATGTGTATTTAGTAAATGGTTATTGATAAAGTCGTTTTCGCTAAGCCGGCGGACCGATTACTTATGGGCTCAGTGATTCTTTTACTTTCTTTTTTACTGGTGGTAGGACCTCTTGTGAGTCCGCACGGGTAGGTACCACCACCCTGCCTATTTCTGCCGTGAAGCAGTAATGAGTTTCGGTTTGAAGGGTGGGGCAGCCGTTGTAACTACACTGAGACCTTAGAACTCATATCTCAAGCTGGGTGGCGGCATTTACGTTGTAGATGTCTATGGGCTCCGGTAACCATTGAACACCAGGTGGGCCGTGAGCTCGTCCCCCTATCTATGCAATACAAAAATGATGAATACAAAACTAGAGATACACACGCATTTGTATTAAACACAACTAGTGTTTGCCAAACGATCCAAATTCGTTCATTCAACATTTAGATTTTATGCATTACGTTTTCTCTTTTTTGTTATTGACATTTTGAAGACAAAAAAACTTGATTATTTATTTACATTTTTTTTTAAACACTAGATTTCTTCTGTGACTAACAAAAGAAAATATATCATAAAATATCATATCATATCATAATTATAAAATATAAGTATGTATTTTATGCGAAGAAAAACTTTTCGCTCTGGTATTTATATTTCAATTTTTTTTTATTTTGGTAACACCAAAGCACGTCAGTAACCGCTAAACAAAAAAAAACGTAAAACTATTTTTACGGTTTAATAATATACATAATGAGTATTCGAAACATCGGATATAATAACATGTATAATGACGATGATAAGCCCCAGTTTAACAACCCACTGAGTTTCACGCCGGATCTTCTCAGCAGGCTGCGATTCCAATTGTTTCGAACTGCTCTGGGGTAGACCGGTGTTTCAAAATAAAAGAGTGGACTGTATTAATATTTAGTAAATTTATAAAATAGTAAAACAAGTAAGTGTCGCGGGTGGCGTTGCTGCACGAAGTGTCGAAGCCGGTGTAAATCCGCTACCCCACGCCGCGCGATCTTCGATGTTCGTGCATCGACACCAATCCGGTAGTGGTTTCAGCAAAGCACTGCTCTTGCTAGGGCTTGAGTTAACAATTCTCTCAGGCGGACCCCGTGAGCTCACCTACCAACCATAAAGTAAGGGGGAAAAAAGAGAGTTCAAGCCGTTAAGGTACTATGAATTATGTCTACAGCTCCTGATAAGCGAAGAAAGTTCCAAATGAAAAACGACTAATAAACAGGAGAGGAAATTGCAATCAATAATTTCTGCGATGCACCACCGTTTTCAAATCGCTTCTAAATATGTATTACATATCTCGATCAGTATCCATATCACCACAAGCACCGGTCACCGTTCTCGATGAACCCGTCGCTTGAGACGAAAGGCTCAACGAGCGAATTAACCCATAGACACAGCCCACTGAGTTTCTCGCCGGATCTTCTCAGTGGGTCGCCTTTCCGATCCGGTGGTAGTTTTTTTTTTTTATTTACTAACAATCACGCCACGTTAACTGGTCTCGTGGTAAGTTCGTAAAGAACTTGTGTTACAGGTATCAGATAACGGAAATAAATGTAATATTTTTATTATACACATACATATATTTAATATACATCCATAACCCGGGAAAAGACATTTTTATATTTATCATACAAATATCCTCCCTTGGCGGGATTCGAACCCGCGACCCCCTTGTGTAGTGACCATGTCACTTACCACTACACCAGACGGCCGTTAGGCGAAGCATTGCTCTTTGTAGGGCCAGTGTTAGCAACACTCCGGTTTGAGCCCCGTGAGCTCACCTACACGTTAGGGCGAAGCTGATATAGCCTCTCAAGGCTATCAGCATAGGTAGGAAAAAAATCCATATCTATCTATTTAGCGTGATGTTTCAACGTAAACTCCAAGACTTCCGATTAACTCGAAAAACTGAACATGTATGAAGGCCGAATAACGATACATTTATTACACTGGCGTGATGTTCAGGTGCCTAGAGATAAAATAAATCCAAATTTTGAGTTTTTTTTTTCTTTCGTTTTTTTTTTTTACAATATGCGTCATTACATCGACTTAATACACTCTGATTAGCTACTGATCGTTTGCAGTATTATTCCATATGTCAGAAGCCACGTACCTAATCGCTTCGCCGCAGCTACTAATTGGAAAGAGCGGGACAGAGAATCGCGAACGTCAAAAGACAAACTATAGCTATCGATCGAGCCATTACGAGAGAGAGAGTCTTTTTCGAAAACATTTTTTTTTCCTGGATAATAAAAATACACAATACGATGTTTCATGTTTTTTTTCTTTTTTTTTTTTTTCATAATACGCCGACGGCCATGGTATATTTTTTTCCTTATTCATTTCCGCCTGAATTATATCTTGGCTGACGATGAAGTAAGCCTTGTGTATGTATAGCTTGATTCGTAATTTATTTGTAACGTCGTGATGCCGTATGAAAAACAAAATGAATTCATCAAATAAGCGAAGCGGTAATTTATAGCTTTCGTTGTCAGATTGAGCCTTATGGCCCGGATGATCTTAAATGATCACGGTCGCTCACGTAAGTCTGCTAGAAGTACAGCCCAGCGACTGTCTAATGTAAAGAAGGCCGGCGTATCTTTATCTTACACGAAGTGGATACTTAGCGATTCTATTATTTTTTCAAATACAGTATACTATTTACTATAATAGAGCAAAATAATTATTAAGATAATAATTAAATTGAATTGTTTGGGAAGGGACCTTGTTTATGAAAATTAAGGTTATTTAAGAAAAATAAACATTCCTAGCTTTTTAAGTCATATATTATATACTCGATAGATAATGATAACAATTCAATTGCTGCTTTGAATCTTAAAACTTAGTCTGTTTATTGAAGCATAGGCCCTAAACACGTCATTACGGATCCTCGCAATCCATTAACGTGCTTTTAGGTACCACAAGCAACAGTCACCGTCCTCGGCGAACCCGTCGCTTGCGACGAAGGGCTCGACAAGTAAATTAACCCATAGACACAGCCCACTGAGTTTCTCGCCGGATTTTCTCAGTGGGTCGCGTTTCCGATCCGGTGGTAGATTCTGCGAAGCACTGCTCTTGCTAGGGCCTGCGTTAACAACACTTTCGCTTTGACCCCAAGAACTACCTACACGCTAGGATGAAGCTGAAATGGCCTCTAAAAGGTATCAGCAAAGGTAGGGGGAAAAAAGGTGCAAGATTAATTTCACTGTAAAAAATTTTTCAACTCCTTTTTTTAAATAATATACTGTCCTCCGTTTCTATGGTCGAAATTCTATTCGGTTCAGTTTGTTATTGATTTCCTTCTCAGATTCTATGTAGTTATGTAATTTGATTTCGTTAGATATGGATAAACTAAGTCAATAAATCTTACATATTTGTTTTTCGTGTTCAACAATCTATATATGTAAGTTTGTTTGTTATGCTTTCACGCGAAAACTACTCAACCGATCATCATGAAACTTCGTACACATATTCTTGGAGGTATTAGAAGTAACGTAGGATACTTTTTATAAGGAAAAAATTTTTTTTTTACGAAAAATTCAAAAATTGTTTGTCAAAAAATCTCAAAATCTAGCTTCTTCAACGCCATCTACCGGTTCAGTAATGAAGTTCCAATCCTGAGTGCTGTAAATGAAGTCGCGGGTAAAATTTAGCGTTATGCCAAAGTAACTATTCCACGCGGACGAAGTCGCGGGCAAAATCTAGTATTATATATAAGAAAGAATGTATGTGCGTATCTAAGTTCACATAACAATTATTTTACGTACTTATGGCTTTTATGTTTTGATGTAAAATTGCATTTATGGCTTTTATGTTTTGATGTAAAATTGCATTTTCTTGCAGGCGACGCTATCGGGCGCATGAAATATATAAATATTTCTTTATATACACAAATTGGGATAATTTGAAGAAACCAAAACAAAGCAGATATTAATTGCGCTAACAAACGTCTCTTTCAGCAACCGGTGATAATAAAATTAATGATGGATAATGCGATGACTTGCAATTGTCTTAACTAGAGTTTCACCATACGACGGAAATTGGGTCATAACCACTGAAACCTCAAGAATTAGATTCAATTTATGTCTTACGCTTTACCCTTGTTTCATTATTAACCTTTTGATTAAAAAAGGAAATTTCCAAATAATATATTGGTAGCACTGAAGCTCGCCAATAATTACTTTAAAAAAACTGGTAAGTAGAGGAGAAAATGGTAATAAACTCTCGTCTTTTTTTATTTTATTGCTTAGATGGGTGGAAAAGCTCACAGCCCACCTGGTGTGATTACTGGACCATGTCTATGACGTAAAGTTCTAGGGTTTCAGTATAGTTACAACGGCTGCCCCGCCCTTCAAACCGAAACGCATTACTGCTTCACGGCAGAATAGGCAGGGTAGTGGTAACTACCCGCGCGGACTACAGCGGACTCACAAGTCTGCCTATTATAGCAGCCTTTGTCTATTTGAAAAAATAGTGATGGGAAAGCGGTAAAAAAAAATTAACGTCAAGTCAATACGAAATCTAAGAACGAGCACTCACCTATTTTTGTTTTTATATCTATACATTGTGATATGTGAGGAAATTGCAGGATCTTGCGCCACTTTTTACTCTTCCCCTTATTGCTATCGGAACCGCCTGAAAAAAAAAGAGAAAATACAGTTATTATATGTGTCGGAGAAGCCACAACTATTAACACTATCCTCAGACGTCGTAGGGGCGAATAGGGTGATCGAGCTAAGAGAAACATTGAGCACACCAATCACGTTTGTTTTCCTAGAACAATCTAGAAATTTTCTCGTGACGTTAGCAAACGAAAACTGATGACAGTTTTTAGGGCGGAGGCACCGCTCTTCAAGAAGGCTGGTCGGTAAGTATATGGTATCTAGGCGCCTCCATCGCTAGGCTCTGTCGTAGCATGAGGTTGGCAGAGCTCCAACGATACCGCAATTGTACTGCCATCTCTCGGGAATCGTGCTGCGTTTCGTTTAGCTACTAAACTAATGACCGTCTCCGACATATGTATATGCCCGAATTAAAATAAAAAAGTGTGTGTGTCCGCTCCGACGCACGACTGGAGTTTACTGGATATAAAAAATTAAACGAAACAATACGAGAAATAGTTCTATATTACGACAACACGATACACTACAGATTATTAACAAATTAACGAGACACAAAACAAACGACTAACAAATATATGAAAATACAATAATGAGAGAAACGCGCGATCAGNAGCCTCGTACTGATCGCGCGTTTCTCTCATTATTGTATTTTCATATATTTGTTAGTCGTTTGTTTTGTGTCTCGTTAATTTGTTAATAATCTGTAGTGTATCGTGTTGTCGTAATATAGAACTATTTCTCGTATTGTTTCGTTTAATTTTTTATATCCAGTAAACTCCAGTCGTGCGTCGGAGCGGACACACACACTTTTTTTTATCAACTTATGCAATTATAATTAGACAATAATAATTTAATATTAAAACTATAATAAAATAAGACCACGCTATATTTATAAACATTAACAAAAGCAAAACATTAACCGTCCCCTTCACACTCATAAGCTAGACCGCGCGAGAGAGAGATGGGGAGACTTTTCACGATGCCCATGCAGTGCGACGTCACGCCGCGCGTTTATTCACAAACACTACACAAGCGCAACGTGTTAATGTGTTGAACGCGAGCTATATGGAAGGCGGAGTGGGGGGGTGTTAGGTATTATTTTCGTTACGGAATTTCTCGATTCGGTCGCCGCGCTCAAAGCCCACACGATAAAAGCTATGCAATAGCTTAAAAACGATTTAATCATGAAGACATCGTTTTTATGCAGGCAGATAGATGAGCATACGGTACACCTGATGTTGAGTGAGTACCGTTGCTTATAAGCGTCAGCAATGCAGTTCCAAACGGGGTCTGCGGTGCGTGCTCAGCGGTAGGCAGCGACTTGGCTGTGTTCCTGGCATTACTGAAGTCCACGAGTGACAATGACCACACATCACCAGTTGAGCCGTGGGCTTGTCTGCATATAATAGCAATAGAACTAAAAACTATATCAGTGACAGTTTCAGCACTGAGAATGAATCGACAATGTACATCGCACATCAAAAGGAACAAAATCTAATCTTATACCTTTAAACGAGCAATTCTTGTATATTAATATACATACATATATATAATCTGAATCTAGGAAACGGCTCCAACGATTTTCATAAAGTTTAGTATACAGGGGATTTCGGGGGTGATAAATCAATATAGCTACGATCTATTTTCAGAAAATGTTGTTTTATTCGTGTTTCAATAATCAATTTTATCGATAATCAAGTTAAACATAGACTATTATTTTTTTATTAAAAGAAAATAACAAATAATATAATATAATATCAATATGTAATTCATACTTAAAGCACGGTCATCCTCTAGTATTATTAAAACAGTACTTATAGTGAAGATAACTTGAACTAGAAGACACATGAAGTATTAATTTTTTTTTTTTTTTTAATTAATGTTACGGCTGGTGTTCCCTAAGAAAATCGCAATTTAAATTAATAATAAACAGCACCGAACAATTCATGCTTTATTAATAGCCTTTTTCTTATTTTATTTTATAGCTTATTTTCGAATAATTCTTAAAATACTTAATAATCACGAAATAGGTTTTTATTGAGTTCGTTTCATTGTTTTTTTTTTAAATATACTAGCGTGCGTCGTGTTTTTTCTTTCAATGACGTTTGAATCTGTCGAACGACGTAGAGGACGCGCCAAGGTTTGAATACTAGGCTGTAAGAGCGTTTTTATTATGTATTTTTAATACGCTTTTATTAGCTTCAGACGTATGTATGTAACGGAATCTTTGAACATGAGTTTGACCCCCTTCAAAACGTCGGATTAACTCGAAATTTGGTATAATTATTAAGGACCGATGAAAACTAAATATTTAAAAAAAAATTGAAAATAATATTGAAAAATAATAATTCAACTAAAAAATTAAAAATAAACAATAGTTTAAAAAAAACTAACAAAATACGCTTTGATAGAAAATCCAACTAAAAAATAGAAAATAAATTTTAATAAATTTGAATTAAATATAGAGTAAGAAAAAATGATTTTATGCATGGTGCATGGTATCAGTAGTTACAAATATTTTATGAACAGATAAGAGTAGAAGGGTTATTTTGATAATATTCTGAAAAGCACCCTACGCATTTTTAAAATAAAATCATTTTTTCAATTTAATTCAAATTTATTATATTTTATTTATTAATTATCATATTTTATTATTTTCTGTGCTAGGTGGCCGTCCCTTGGTGTTGTGAGCAGGCTGCGGGCCTAAAGATTTTAGGGCCCACCCACTAAACGACTCCCCTGGACTCTTACACCCGACGTCCGATCCCCTCCGAGGTCAGAACCCGGATGAGGTAGGGGGGCTACCGCGGTCAACACTACAACCAGACGGCAGGTGGCAACGGACCTGCCGCACTGGACATCAGTTCAGCAGTGAGACAGTGGACAGGCTGAGTTGATGATGATGATTATTATTATAACATATGTTTATTATTAGTATATTTTATCATTCAATCATCATTGACTAACGCCAGAGAATATTTCATGTATTTTGATTGCCTGCCGTAAATTAACCATGACAATTCAATTATGACAGCAGGCATGTGAGTGTCATTTACTGGACTGTTTTAAATTTAAACGCGTGAGCAACACGCGGCCCGCCAAGCATTTCTAAAATTGAATTTATTTTATCGACTTTCTCCCATTAATTGGTTTTTCTATTCTTTTTTTTTTTTTTTATTGCCTAGCTGTGTGGACGAGCTCACAGCCCACCTGATGTTAAGTGGTTACTGGAGCCTATAAACATCTACAACGTAAATGCGCCACACACCTTGAGATATAGTTCTAAGGTCTCAGTATAGTCACAACGGCTGCCCCACCCTTCAAACCGAAACGCATTACTGCTTCACGGCAGAAATAGGCGGGGCGGTGGTACCTACCCGTGCGGACTCACAAGAGGTCCTACCTGTTTTAATAAAGAAATAAAGTTTCGTAAATTATTAATCAGAGAATATAAAATATATGTGCGGCCGGCCAAAAAAATCACAATTTTAATTGGCCCATTAATTAAAAAGGTTGCTCACCCCTGGACTTTAAATAATAACTATTAAATACAAGACTTGACGAATTTTATGGTTTTTCGATTATTATTTGGACATGCCTTTCCGATTACCTACCTGCTTACTATTACGATATAGCATCGATCAAAACTCGGTATGATTGTGGTATTCGTTTTCGGCATCAGGATTCAGATTTTGTGTTGCAGGCGTAACACAGGTGAAAACCTTGGGGCTATACATATCCGATCCATTAACGGTGCCTTTAGCTACCACAAGCACCGGTCACCGTCCTCGTTGAACCCGTCGCTTGCGACGAAGGGCTCGACGAGCGAATTAACCCATAGATACAGCCCACTGAGTTTCTCGCCGGATCTTCTCAGTGGGTCGCGTTTCCGATCCGGTGGTTGATTCTGCGAAGCACCGCTCTTGCTAGGGCCAGTGTTAACAACACTCCGGTTTGAGCCCCGTGAGCTCACCTACACGTTAGGGCGAGGCTGATATAGCCTCTCAAGGCTATCAGCATAGGTGAAAAAAAAGGGGACTATCTATACTAATATATAAATCTAGTGGTTTTTACGGATGTTCCTATATAACTACTGAACCATGCATGCGATTGACTTGAAACTTTGTATCCATGTATAAAATACGTGTACTTAATGGATAGGCTAATATTTATATGAGTATTGGACTCCCTACACCAGTTATGGGGCGTTAATGATGAGAATCTTTGTGGCGGGTAGCCATCATACAACACAAGAAATTTGACAGATGCCTGAATCTCGCTTATGGCATTTTCAAGATAAGCTTGCATATATACAAGTTCCGAACAACAACACACGGACCGTCGGTCTACCGAGCTATTATCACAAGCTCGGTGGAAGATCTTCCCTTCCGTCGTTTAAGCATCCCCACACTGGTGACCTACGACGAAACAATTGGTGTGGCGGTAGCCATCACAGAACACAAGATATTTGACGCAATATCACGCGCTCGGTAGAAGAACTTTCCTTTCGTCGTAATCCTACAATCTTTGTGGGGGTGAGAAATAATAATGTTAATTTTAAATGCCCAGCGAAGCGGACGGGTACAGCTAGTACTATAATATATCCTTAGGGCTATACTTGCAAAAATTCCGACGACTAGGGACGGCCTGGCACCGCCCCGAACCTCTCTACCGATAAGCTGTTATTTTTATAACGAATACGAAGGTTAACTCCGAATCACGAACGACTTCCACGATAAAGGCATAGCCCAAGCAAAATTTGACCTTTTCCTTCAACTAAAATATCAGTTTTCAACATATTTGCTAAAGCTTTACCGTCACGCCGTTTTCAGCTTGGGATTCTTTGAGAGTGTCGCTTCATACCAGAGCACTTTGATTAACTATAGCCAATAGTAAGATCTTATGGGCCATTTTTTTCTTTTTTTTATTGCTTAGATGTGTGTGTGGACGAGCTCACAGCCGCCCTGGTGTTACGTAGTTAACGGAGCCCATAGACATCTACAACGTAAATGC